CATTGTAATACACACACCTGTTATAAAACTTAAGTTTCAATGTCATGGAAGCACTTCTCTTTAAATAGACATAAAAATTCAAGTCAGAAAACATAATTGTTTGACTTAGTGCCTGATAGAGTAAATATAAATATACCTCCCAAGTACATAAATATCTAGTAGGAAACTTTCATTCATTATTACTATTGCTTTTACTAATAAGAGCAACAATTTCTCGAGCTGTTACTGCATGTTAGGCATTGGGGTAGGTGTTTTATATAGACATTATTTTGTTTCCACTCTGCTGTAACAATTTTGGTGATAAAGAAATCAAGGTTTAGAATTTTTCCAAAGGTCACATAAGCAGTAAATAGTAGAACAAGATTCAAAGGCCAGTCAGGTTATAGCAGTAGACTGAGTCACCCTCATTGCCATTGACCTTGACTGGATCAAGGTCAGAGCCTGGGCTGTTAACTGCTGTGCCACAGAATTCCTCTTCTACACTCTGGCCAATTTTCTGAAAAGCCAGGGATTCTTTAATATATGGAATAATTGCTCCTGATTTGAATCCATGAAAATCATTTTTGGTATCTAGATTGAGGTTCAGCATCCCTCAATTATATTTGCAATATTATTTCCAAGTAAAAATGGTAAGTTTTTGTTCCCTTTTTCAAATGTTACATTTCTTACATATTTTGGAAAAAAAAAAAAAAAAAAAAAAAAAAGCTTTTTTGAGACATGTCTGCCTTACAGGATGTTAGAACTCCAAGGTGAAATACGAGTAAGAACTGCTTCTTACCTATATGCTCGGTACCTGTTCCCAATGCTTAGGACACCGCGCATGTCATGGTGTTGACCCTCAGCTGCTGTTCTCTGGTGGAGGCTGGTGGAAAAGAGCTTTAAGTTTGTGCAGACTCCAGTGTAGCTACGGCTCCATCTTTCTGGACCCCGTTAGTCTTTAAGAATTCTGCCCTGGCCGGTTTGGCTCAGTGGATAAAGTGTCGACCTGTAGACTGAAGGGTCCCAGGTTCAATTCCGGTCAAGGGCATGTGCTGGGGTTGTGGGCTCGATCCCCAGCAGGGGGTGTGCAGGAGGCAGCCAATCCGTGATTCTCTGTCATCATTGATGTTTCCATCTCTCTCTCCCTTCCTCTCTGCAATCAATAAAAATGTATTTTAAAAAAGGCATTCATTGAAATTAGCTGACTTCTTCTTCCCTGTGCCTGTGGAACCACTGCTTCCTCCTGTGCTCTGCAGAAGTGAGGGAGTGCTGTGTTCCTTCTCTCCTTAGAGGGACGTGTCCCTGGGGCACTGCACTGCACTGATTGCCTTGCAGCAGCATCCTCCATCCCTGGTGGCTTTAGGAAGACTGACAACTCACTGAACTAGCTGGCTTCTCCGGCTGGGGAGGCAGGAGAGGTGCGCTGCACTCCACATCCCAAGCAGAAGCCAGTCTGGGCCCCGCACAGAGCGCCCTGCAGAGAGCCCTTTCCCTGCGCCTTGGTGCACACTGAGGCCGGAAGGTGACGTGTCCAGTCCGTGGCAGAACTGGGGCTGGGACCCAACCGACAGCTTCTCTCTACTGGCATGCAGCCACCTCCTTTTCCCTTTTTTATTTAAATTTCAGGGTTATCGCTCCCCTGTCTATGATTCTTTACTGCTGTTCTTAGCACCACTGGCTTTTCTTCCCAGGAAAGAATGTAAAAAGGACGCCAAGCATCAGAGGTCTCTGATGTGAGTCCATGGCATACAAGCCTTTAGAGCAGTGGCTCTCAACCTTCCTAATGCTGCGACCCTTTCATACAGTTCCTCATGTTGTGGTGACCCCCAACCATAAAATTATTTCCGTTGCTACTTTATAACTGTAATTTTGCTACTGTTACAAATCGTAATGTAAATATCTGATATGCTATATGTGTTTTCCAATGGTCATGACCCACAGGTTGAGAACCACTGCTATAGAGATTACTTCCCATCTTTGCATTAACAGTATAAAAAATCATTAACAGGCATTGAAAACAGTGAGTTATAGAAGACCCAGCAGGTTCCTTGGTTTAGAGGATTATTTTCAGACTTAGCTTCGCATGTGTGTGTTTTTTAAGCCTAGTTACAGTAACTTACTTTTTTAAAATACATTTTTATTGATTTTAGAGGGAAAGGAAGAGGGATAGAGAGGTGGAAACATTGATGAGAGAGAAAAACATTGATCAGTTGCCTCCTGCATGCCCCCCCACTGGGGATTGAGCCCACAACCCGGGCATGTGCCTTCACCAGGAATCGAACCGTGACCTCTTGGCTCATGGGCCGACGTTCACTGAGTTACACTGGCTAGGCTAACCTTATATGTTTTTACTCTCAAAGCTTGTTGGCGGTTTTCCTTCTAAACTAATAATAACTCTATTTAAGGTGCTGGGGTCATCTAAAGTAAATTCTGGATTTTACTGAAGTTTGAAGTCACCCTAAAGATTTTTCTACATTAATCACATCTTTGGTTACTCTAATAAAATTTGCTTTCTAAATTCAATATTTTCTACATTCTTAATGGGAACTAAGACTTACAAGTAGGAGGGAATTTTTAAAATCTCATAAGCACTTGTTTTTGCAAATAAAACACTACAGCGGGTTGAGTGACTTACCGAAGCTCACATAGCGCTTGATTGGCAGAGCTGGGACTAGAACGGGTCTGGTGGCTCAGATTGGGACGAGGGAGGCACTCAGGAGACTATCAAATTTTTTTAAAGATACGTCTTCCTAGAGAATTATTTTATTCAGATATTACTTTTTTTATAGAGTGAAAGGATATTTCTTTTTATAATGAAACACTAATATATTTGGAAGGAGAAAGGAAATCAACACTAATTCTTAAAGCAAACTATTAAATTTTGGAACACTCTGGGCTCAGGTGCATGCCTACTCTCTTCTGCTTGCTGGCGGGGCCTGGGGGGACAGCAGAAGCATTCTTTTCACCCACCTCCTGCCCAGTGTGAGCGCCTGCTAAGGTGATATGACTGTTGGGGGCTGCAACTTAGTTGGATTTCAATGAGAACATTCCTCTTTTGTGAGTTCTCTGGCTATTTTCCAAGTATGGAAACACATGTAAAGTTAGCCAGTGACCCCTAGCAGCCACCATTATCTTGCCTTCCTGCCACCAGTAATGGTGTTTTAAATAACAGACTTCCCAGGGTTCTAGTTTAGGCGTGCAGGCCACATCCAAGACCTGTCCATGGAAGGAAGAAAAAGAGCACATCGTTTTACATCCCCCCCCCCCCCCCAAGAACGATGGGGCCATAACTGCCTGCTGATGTCCTCTCCTTCCCCCTGAATTATTAAGGCTACACATTGTCTCTTCTGGTCACAGGACTTATTCTTCAGCTGTGATTTTGCATGTAATAGAAAGCTAGTTCTTGCTATAAGAAGCTCGATACATTGGGACAGATCCAGTTCTGGCTAGAAATAGCGTGGTTACAAAGCTTTTCAGTGTATGTGCCAGTGAATTAACAACATAAAGATAACACGGGTCTATCACCAGATGATTGGATTTGAAGGCCATTTGCACATTAACTTCAGAAAGAGGCCTGCCTGTGCGTTTCCTCCCCCGCTTCCCCACTTGGGCAGAGTCCCATTAATTTTGTTGAAGGTTTTATTTTCTGCTAAAAATACAGGAAATTTAGACAACTCTTTTGGAATCCCCCCAAAACTAATACAAACAAGATACATATGCTTCTCTTAAGGAAACTAAAAATAAATGATTTGAAACTATTTAACTGTATAAATTCCCTCTTAAAAGGGAAAAGGAAGTTTATATAATGAGGCAGCCATGAGTGCTGTTGACAGGGTAAGATACTCCCACAACTGCCAACTTGTCCCTTTGACATGAAATCACTACTTAGCACAGGACTTGCTCGGTGTTCATTACCAACATGTACGAAAACCACCAGAACCACAGAAAACAGGACCATTTTCTCAGGGTCCTTGTCTTTACATTTGAGATTTTCTGCAATAAAGTGTGTGTGTGTGTGTGTGTGTGTGTGTGTGTGTGTGTTGGGTTGTTTGGGATTTCTTGTTGTTGTTGTTGTTGTTGTTCTTTTTGACGACAAAGTCTGTTTGACCTGGATCCATTCCTGGAATGGAAGCTGTGTATTCCAAAAATACAATACCATGAATGAGAAAGTGCAATCTTCTGCATGTATGTTGCTCTTCCACCAGTTAGCCATGACATTTGCTTTCTGACAAAGCTAGTTTTAACAGTAGAGAGGAAACAATTAGTTTTTAAAAGCATGTCTTTTTATAAAACTTCGTTATTCCATAAATGTAAGTCAGTTTTCCTATACACTGTCCTCTGGAGGACCTAATTTGGCTTTTTTTAAAGGACCAGTTTTGTAAATTAATAGAAATGGAATTTGGAGGCTTATATTTAAGACTAAGAAATGTGATTTCTAAGTTATTTGCAGTTATAATAATTGAATTAATTTATTAACTTTCTAAAGGCATTTTTATCTTTTTGTTCTTTTTTTGTAATATGTCCAAAATTAAAATGACTCTTATCCTTTAAAATACTTTAATGTATCTGTTTTTATATTTAAAAAGCTCTCACATGGTACTTACCATGCGTTACACACTGTTATAAGGACTTTACAAATGCTACCTCACTTAATCTTTATGGAAAATAATCCAATAGCAGTCTTCTTTAAATACCATCTGAGCCCTAGTGAGTTTGGCCCAGTGGATAGAGCACTGACCCACAGACTGAAGGGTCTCGGCTTCGATTCTGGTCAAGGGCATGTTACCTCGGTTGCAGGCTCGATCCCTGTGTGCGGGAGTCAACCAGAGGTGCCAAGGGGGAGGCAGCACACTGGCACCAGGTTCCCTGCTAGAAACTGGGAACTGGGATAGAGCTTTTATTGAAAAGAACCTGACAAAAGTATTCATAATGGCTCTTAAGTTTTATGGCTCTCATTCCAATTAAGTCTGTGTCAAGGAGTAAAACACTGACCCTGTGTGGGCATTTTCTTTCTTTATCAGGCACAAGACCTAAATGTCATCGAGGAAGTGATTCGAATGATGTTAGAGATCATCAATTCCTGCCTGGCAACTTCTCTTCACCACAACCCAAACCTGGTGTATGCACTGCTTTACAAACGAGATCTCTTTGAGCAATTCCGAACTCATCCTTCATTTCAGGATATAATGCAAAATATTGATCTGGTAAGTGTAATGGAGGTATTTATCATGGTTCTTTTTTAAGTATTAAAGTAGAAGAGTTTAATAAGCCTTGATAAAAACTGTAATAGAATCTCCTTAACATTAACTATATTTGCCCTCTATTCTGCTGTAACAATTGTTGCATTCCGTGTGTGTATATCTTATATGCACAGACATATGTATACACATATATGTTTTACTTAACATATGCACAGACATATATATACACACACATATATATTACTTAACATTTAGATCATTAACATTTTTATGTAATATCAATTCTTTGAAAAATCTCACATCTTTATATATATATTATGGATATCCTAAAATATATTTAACCATTATCCCAGATAAGAAAACTTAGATGCTGAGAGAGGATTTCCAAGTGATTTTAACACAAATCCAAGCCTAAGAATCATTGTCTTAGATACTGATTACATATTTGCTTGTGAGTTATTTAATATACACAATCTCATCTGAATTTTCAACCATCCCATTGAAGCAAAGCAGCACATGAAAGGAAAAAGGTTGGCTCAATGTCACTTAGCTAGTAAGTCACTCAGACCCTAAATCCAGGTCTTCTCATTATAAACTCTATGCTTTCAACATTCACTTGGATAAACCTAAGTAAGATTCCAAATGAGCAAGCTTTCCAACAACTTTTTGTTAAATATTGCCATCCAAAATAGTGCTGGGCACACTATTCTGAAATTTATTCAGAAACATTAAACTCTTTTTACATGTTTTGAAAAAAATGCCATGGTAGAGATATAAATAACATCTCTCCTTTTTGCTCCTTTCAGCACTTTACCTTCCCTCCCCTAAATGCCCCTGAAATTTTGGCTTAAGCAAGTCTTTACTATTTCTTTTTTCATAAAGTTAACCTTGGAAAGTATTGGGAAAGGACACTATGAATCCACTGTTATTTTTAGCTGACAGGGAGTTGAGAGTTGATATTTTTCATTAAGACATTCAGCAATGTTGAATATCTGAGACAGGAGTGACTAACCTTGGAGCACTTTTAACTTCTGCAGAAGGAGTTAGACAAGTGTTTTTCAAGTGGCCAAATTTCTATTAGCCAGTGGTACGCATGCCTCCCATCGAACTCATAAGATGAAATGATCTGGCTGAATAGGCAGCAGGACAAAATAGGGTTACCACACCCAACGAGAGAAGAAATGTCATGGCTTCATATAAGTAGAGAACGGAGGCAGTGAACAGTAATGGATGTGTAGTATGGTAAAGGCAAGAACTATTTTTATCTCTGCTCAGTGTAAAATTCGTGTTAGATTTTGTGTATTTCCAGACCCTGCCGTCCTTACTGAGCTCCACACTAGTCCATTCAGTTGCCAGTGTGGCAGTCCTGCAAATGGCAAGCAAGGTTAAACCAAGTGTGATGTTCTCGAATAACAAGGGATCCACAATGTCCTGATTTGTTATCACTGTGATGCTGAATGATTTGCTAAGATATAATATTCTTTTAGTGTTTTGTGACAAATATTAAGGGACAGGATTATGTCCAGAATGTCGCTGCTTAGTTCAGGCTGTGCTGTGACATGCGCAAAAGTAATTATAGCTTGCTGTTGATTATCCCTGGTGCTCAGGATATGAGTGTCGTGGGGAAATTAAATGTATAAATACTGTCCAAAACACCATTTTAGCCATTAGCTTCACATTTCTTTCTTATTTCGCCTTTATATTTTTTTTAGAGTTACTATGAAGCCTCAGTATTAACAGGTTTTAAGGTTTAGCTTTCTTTCTCCACCTTCTTCTAGGTGCTGCTCTCCAAATGAAATACAAATGCAAGGTGAGGCAGCACAAGAAAGAGCAGATTCAGGAGCCTACTTAATTCACAGAATGGATAATGAGCCCTGAACATTCAGGGGCTGACAGTGACTCAGGCATCAAACTCTGTAGAGAGGATGCATTTAGGAGGGCTAGTGAGTTAAAAGCCAGGTCGTATAGTTAGGCTAGCTTGACGACCATATGAGAAAGGCACTATATGAAAAGACCGTATGAAAATACGTCTCCTACATCTACTTGTTTAAAAAATTCCATTCTAAATTCCAGGTGATCACCTTCTTCAGCTCCAGGTTGCTACAGGCTGGAGCTGAGCTCTCGGTGGAACGGGTCCTGGAAATCATCAAGCAAGGAATTGTTGCTCTGCCCAAAGACAGGCTGAAGGTAGGACTGGCAAATGAAACACACACCACTCTCTCCCTTAGGGTCTGAGCAGACTCTACTCAGAATCAGGTCACTTACCCAGTACTTGGACTAGAAAAGGCTCCCTGAATATCGCCGCTCTACTGTATACTGATACACAGACTGTGATGAAGAAGGGTTCTCACAGTTTCCCAAAGTAGCAAAAGAAGGACTGATATCTTCATCCCATTGCAGATAGTGTGAGTAATTTACATAAAGGAGCACTTATTTTTTTAACCCAGTGAAATAAATTCATCCTTCTAAGTATCATCAAGGGTTGATGGGAAGGTGAGGTGGTGATGTGACATTTGCAACAATGGCTAACACTTGCCTGGTGTTTACTCAGTACGGGGTGGGGTCCTAAGTGTCTGACATAGATTAACTTATTCGATCCTCACAACACCCCTTCAAGGTAGTGGGGGTCGGTACCATTATCGTCCTCATTTTTCAGCTGAGCAAACTAATGCACTGAGAAGGTAAGTAATTTACCCAAGTCATAAAACTAGAAAATTATAAAACTGATTCATCTCCAGGTAGTCTGGTGCCACAGTCCATGCTCATAATCACCACCTATTTGCTGTATGCTTGGGTTTATCTATGGAAAGAGGAGCTTTTTATGAAAGACGTGGGGAACATTGTATTTTAAGAAGACATCTACATTGTGTGTTAGCTATGTTTCTGAAGAGATTCATGATGTAAATGCATACTTCAAGACTAATTTTCTCAAATGAAAAAGGTAAAGGGCACGGTCTGGGGGGGATGCATGAATGTACGGCATCGTACCATATTTTTCCTTTACCATATTTTAATTTTTTCCTACATTACCTTCTAAGTGTTTTAAGTACTCGGTCTTAAGTTAACAGCACAGTGCATCATAGTGGACGTTTGGCCTCTTTGTAGTGTTTTATCACAATTAGCTCTTCCAAAGTCACCATCTGGGGCGCTGTTTTCAGCACCATCCCTAAACCACTGCTTAATGAGGGCTTGAGAGATATTGTTGTAGGATGTGAAAATGTTTCCAGTTACAATAACAGTGTGTGAAACAAGAGCACGTTAGTCTCATAGCCACTCACAGGAGCTCCACTGGGCGGGAACAGCAGCGCGGCGCATGCAGTGCTGAGCAATGGCGGGTATTTCTGTTTATCAGCAAAAATGGCATCACCATGTGGCAATAGCCTAATAGCTAATTACAGTTCACCCGACCCTCCGGCTTCGACTTTACTCCTGACATTCTCTTTTTTAAAATTATTATTATTGTTTAAAGTATTACATGTCTCCTTTTCCCTGATTGACACCCTCTCCCCACCACTCCTGCCCCCCAGGACAAGCCCCCACCGCCCCAGTGTCTGTGTCCATTGGTTATGCTAATATGCATGCATATAAGCCCTTTGGTTGATCTCTTACTCCCTCCCCTGCCTTCTCTCAGTGTTTCTTAGTCTCTGGATCTATTTTTGTTCATCAGTTTATGTTGTTCATTATATCTCACATATGAGTGAGATCATGTGATATTTATCTTTCTCCGACTGGCTTATTTTGCTCAGCATAATGCTTTCCAGTTCCATCCATGCTGTTGCAAATGGTAAGAGTTCCTTCTTTTTTATAGCAGCATAGAATTCCATCGTGTAGATGTACCACAGTTTTTTAATCCACTCATCTGCTGATGGGCACTTAGGCTGTTTCCAAATCTTAGCTATGGTAAATTGTGCTGCTATGAGCATAGGTGTGCATATGTCCTTTCTGATTGGTGTTTCTGGTTTCATGGGATATAGTCCCAGAAGTGGGATTACTGGGTTGAATGGGAGTTCCATTTTTAATTTTTTGAGAAAACGCCATACTGTTCTCCACAGTGGCTGCACCAGTCTGCATTCCCGCCAGCAGTGCACAAGGGTTCCTTTTTCTCCACATCCTCGCCAGCACTTTTGACTTGTTGATTTATTGATGATAGCCATTTTGACAGGTGTGAGATGGTACCTGACATTCTTTAAATATAGGGAATTCATACTTTCATTCTTACATTAAGTTTTTATTGGGGAGGGAGGTTGCAGTATTTCAGATATACTTAACTAGACCATATGAAGCAGTACAAAAATCCATGAAGATTGGAGTGGCTGCTCATAGAAGTGATGGGTCTTGGTGTCCAAACGAAGTCAAGAAGTAGAACTGTCATGAGGCTGTAAGAAAGGATCACGCAGAGGAGCCCGGGAAAGAGGGATTTTAATGAGCTCAGAGAACCAGCACAGTGGAAGTAATGGAGATCGTGATTCAAGGACGGTGCATTTAGACGGAAGATGTCGAAAGCGGAGCAGATTGTGGTGATCACATGGTCTGGGTTTGGCCGTGAGTGGGGGCACTGAAGTGCTATGATGTGAGTGAAAGTCAGTGTGGCTGAGCCAGTTAGTGAGCTGGAAGCCAAGGATGGGTCATTCGCATGGGCGTCATAGTCTCTTAGGATGATAAGCCATGCAGTGGAGGAAGATGGGGAGCCAAATGCTCCAATCAATGGGAGAGCAGCCTGGAAGTCAGTAGGTGGCAGCTACACGGAGAGAAGAAGCCGGTACCAGCCTCATATGGGCAAAGCTTTTTGCTTAACCGTAGAGGATTAGAGAATCAATAGCCAAGGAACAAGGAATGAGCAGCCTCTATTTCCAAAGCATCCAGGGGATTCAGAGTCCTGAGGGCAGAGCCAGATTTCCGTTCCCGAAGGAAGGAAGGAGGATTCAGTGTGGGGACTGAGAAAGGAAGGATACTTACCCATGAAGTAGGGTCCGAAAAGGCTTTGTGGGACATGGGAAGAGGTGAAGAACAGGAGCTTGGATGCGGGGAGAGAAAGCACAAAGCCGTATGGGGAAAAGCCCTGGGCGGGGGGCCTTTTGGAGCATCATCTCATCAACAAAAAGTTGCGGATTCCATTCCCAGTCAGGGCACACACCTAAGTTCAATCCCTGGTTGGGGCAGCACATATGGGAGGCAACCGATGAATGTTTCTCTCCTTCTCTCTCTCTCTCAAAATTCAATAAAAAACACACATATCTTTGGGTGAGGATTTTTTTTTAAGTTCAGGCTGACTGGAGGTAGGGGCCTAAGATGAACCACGGACCAGTGCTGGTGAGGACATGATGTGCATGTTCTGTGTGAGCTTGCACAGTACTTTTCAGCAAGCATCGGCTCTGTGATGACCACTGCTCTCAGTGCCTGGGCCTATTGGTGACCAAAGAGTGCTGCCCCGTGGGGCTCACTGTCTAGCAGGAGAAGATGGACAATGAGCAGTGAGCGTATGTAATGACAAAAAGATCGATTGCACTAGAACTTCACAAGTGCTCTGGAAAATAAAAGAGCTGGGGAAAGGGGTTTGGGAGTATTGGTGAGGGTGCAGTGGAAGAAAGTTGTAGAATTACAAAGAATGGTCTGGGCAACATTTAGCAAAGATAAAAAGGAGGTGAGAGAGTTAAACATGCTGACTCATACTGAGTCCCAAGCAGTAAGAACAGCCATTGAAAAGGTCCTAAGCCAGGAGAATGCCAGGCATGCTGAAGAAGTAACAAGGAGACCAAAGTGGCTAGACCAAAGTGAATGAGCGGAGGAGTGGGAGGTGAGCAAATAATGGGGGAAAGGAGGTGCAGTGAAATGGGGAACCGGGGCAAGGTTTTGAGAAGAGAAGTGGCTTGATGTGGTTTCTGTTTTAATAGTATTGCTCTGACTGCTATGTTGAGCCTAGACATAGGGAGACCAGTTAGAAGCTTACTGCTTGACTTGGATCATAGCAGTAAGATTGAAGTGCCAATAGAATTAGTCCAAGAAATCGTCTGAATTGACTGGTAGGCAGAGGAGGGCACGTAGGCCTTCTATGAGACAGCGACACCGTCTTCATTGATTACAAAAGTTCCAGGGAATCCTGGCCAGGGTGGCTTAGTTGGTTGACCGAGAGAGGTTGCTGGTTTGATTCCTGGTCAGGACACATGGTCAAGTTGCAGGCTTAATCCCCAGTAGGGGGCATGCAGGAGGCAACCAATTGATGTTTCTCTCAAAAATCAATAGAAACATTAAAAAAAAAAATTTTAAAAGCTCCAGGGAATGGTAGCTAGAACATGGTTCTGGCAGACTGGTTAAAGAATTGGTCTGCAAGTGTTGAAAGAGTTGTTTTTGGAAGTGGATTTGTACTTGATCTGTGTGGGTCTCAAAGACAACTTTCAGATATTGGTTGGCCCAGTGTGTCATGGTTAGAAGCCTGACTCTGCTTTGCTAAATAGTGTGCAGCTCAACAAACTTTGTGTAGACATGCTACTAATGTAGAAGCTGTCCGTACTAGGCAATTCAGAGCAAACTTTCGGATGCCACACCTTGAGACAATCTGGAAGCCTCTCAGAGAATCACCAGAATTATGAAGGAACACAGGAAGTGATTAGAGGAACTCATATTGTTGGTATTAGCTTTAAGAAGACAAGACTCAAGCAGAAGGCTTGTGTTCACGTACTAGAAGAGTTGTTTATGAAAGCAGATTTGGACTTGTTCCTGTGGTCTCAGGAATAGGACCAGTGGGTAGAAGCTACATACAGGGACTTGCATTTCAGTTCCATATAAGGAAGAACTTTCTAGCAGAGGGGATTATTTAGAGATGGAATGGGCAACTTTTGGGAAGTGATGTATTCATTCTCACTGCATAGAGATGTTAGGGGAATAGGCTAATGGCCACTTGGCAGAGATGCTCTTAACTGTTGGTACTAGCTGGCTAGAGTGGTGAATCGAGTAAAATTCCAGGGCTGAGTTCAGGTGCAGCAGAAAGAGTGCTGAGGTACATTAACAATGCCTGCCATTGGCCACAAGAGCAAAAAGTAAGGAGCATGTGTGTGATTACTTATCATTCCAATTGTAAAGACTCAAATATTGGTTGGGAAATCTAACTGTGTGACTTTTAAGAACCTTTCCATTTCCGTGAGTGTAATTCTGTTTGTGCATATACAAAATTATTGTTCTCCACAAAGCAC